CACGACCCCCTCAGGCGGGCCTCCAGGCTCTATCCAAACCCTCAGGGCCGCTCAGCCCAGCTGCCCTCAGGCCCAGGGCCCTCCGGCCGCCCCTCAGCGCCGATAATCTCCCCCCAACCCCCTTCTTCTCCTCCCCCTCTTCTTCCCCTACAACCTCCAAATCCGGGCAAAACGCTGCGGCTCTCTTCCTTCCTCCATCACGACTGAACTGAAACTCGACCCAGATATTCCCGCATGAAACACAATCTCTGCATCCTCTTGCACCCTCGCCCCCTGGCCCCCCGGCACGCCACGCCCCTTACTCTGCACTGTACACACAAAAGACCGCCTCTTTCATTACACTTTCCCGTATTTCCAGAGACGTTGTTACTCCGGGCCTAGCGCAGCCGGGCGGGGCGGGGGTGGGGCTTCCCCCTTCTTTACACCCTGGCCATCACGTGTCACTGCGCAACGACACCGAGAAAATACCGTCTCTCGCAAAAAAAAGAGAGCAAAAAAACAAGAAAATGACATGACATATCGCGGAAATGGCCGTCCCGCTGCCGTCCCGGGGCTGGGCTGACTGGCCTGTTATAATCCTTATTCCGGACGGACAGCGTCGAAACGACGTCGTATATGCAGGTGAGTTACGGCACCATCCGGCCTGCGAAAAGCGGGGTGGAGGCGGCCTAGGCCCGAGAAGCGCCTGTAAGTGCGAAAACAATCGGTCTCTCTTCGCTTGCTCGCTCTCGCTCTCTCTTTTGCTCTCGCTCTCCTGCACTATCACGGCCGTGCGCGTCGTGACCCCCGGCGGCCTGCAGAGGAGAGAGTCAACACCACGAAAAATAATAAAAAATGAAAATAGCTCCAAAAGATATCGGCGCGCGGGAATCTCCGGCGGCGTAGTCTCGATCAGGAGCAGGCCAAGCGGCGCGGCGGCGGAGAAATGGCCCAGCCAGCCTCGTCTAATCACGGGCGGAGCAGAGCGGAGCACAGCGGAGCAGAGCCAGCGGCAGCCAGCATCCCGGGGGGACACCGATCATCAATGCCCCCGCCCCCTCCCCGGGCCCGCCCCGCCCCCGCTACCGAGCCACCGTGAAATACTGCTGCCCTGGCTCACGAGCATCAGATACGCCCTGCTGTGCCTTTCTGCGGCCGGGGGTGGCGGAGACGGGCAGAGAAGGAGGAGCAGAGAGAGCGAAAGGGGGCGGGGAGAGGAAGAGAGAGGAACTTAAAGAGAAGGAGGGGTGAAAGGGAGCGAGGGAGACAAGACGGTCGGTCTGAGCGTTATTATCATAGCGATTGCCATCATGCTCCCAGCCTCCAGAAGCAGCCCCAAGGCCCCGGGCCCCACCCCGCCCGGGCGCGCCCGCCGATGAGCGTGCTGGCGGGCGGGCAGGCGAGTCACCCAGGGGGATCGTCATCAAGGCGATGAGACGGGCCGTTCGCTCCACATTCTTCATTTCGCCCTGATCGCCTACATGTAATACAGATCACAAGAGGATTCCAGGCCGAGGCGGTGGCTCCACTCCTATATCGTCCTGACTGTGTTGTGTAGGGTCCGCCCGCGCCTGCTGGAGCCCTGGAGCAGCGGGCCCGCGCTTCTGGACCCATACACCCCGCATCCGCCCTTGGAGCTGATAGCGGGGCGAGACGTCCGATCTAGCCGCTGCGGTCATTGGTCTGGCTGCGCGAGGCGTGGCGTGGTGCTCTGGTGTGGTGTGGCGTGGCGGGGTGTGGCTCGGCGGGGCGCGCCGGGGATCGCTCCGCGCACAATGCCGTTACGTCACAATGGTGAGCTTTACCTTTGACCCTTTGGGCCTTTGGCCGTCACGACCGCCCGGCCAGCCAGGGCGGCCCTTTCCCATGTCCATTACGGGATGGACCGGGTCCTCCCCCCCGCCAGGCCAGGGTGGGTACGTACCCACCACTCCGGAGGTACCTCGGCCCGGCTGCTCTGGTACGACCGGCGGGGCCCTTGGGAGCCGGAAGGCCCCGGCCAGCGATAAGCCAACTTGGCGGGCGAGGCAGCGCTCACCCGTCCGGGGCCGCCTCCCCCTCCCCCACAATGTGGCCGGGACCATCTACCCTTCCGCCCGGCGTCCGTCTGGCGAGGGCATAACGCGTCCACAAACTGAATAGTACCGCCGCCACCTGCATCCCGGCCCGGCCCTGTGCATGGAGGAGCAGGGAACGCCACTCCAGGGCAGCGCCGAGCAGGGACGCTGTTGCGCAGCGCACCGGGTGAGAGCGGCACGATGTCGCCTCTTGCCTTTCCGGGGTAACCGAGCGGCGGGCGGCGCGGGGCCGGCCGGGAGCAGCTCGACAAGGCGCCGGACAAGGAGAGGCAGCCACTCCAGCTCCAGGCCGGCCCAGGCGGGCCCCACCTGGAGCCTCGCGTTGCCAGCCTCTCCAGAGGATGTTGGCCACCACTCCAGGAGGGCCGCCTCCGCCGGGGAGAGGCTCCAGAGCCTCGGCCGAGTGCGACCGTGATCGTAAAGTACGGCCGATATTCGACAGTTTACGGCCAAAACCCCGACTAGAGTCGGAGGAGAGAGAA